TCCTTCACGTTCTTCACACTTCATGCAGACTAGAAATACTAGTACAAAATGAAAATCAATACAACAAAGAAAACGGAAACTCTTATGAGAGATAAGAGTGCAAAAGCTTTATTTTACAGATGCTGCTGTTTTTTACTATTCAGGAACAACAAATTGGAAGAAACAATATACGGATTTACATTTCTCATTTTTATTTTCAGGCCAAATCTGAGGTATATGTAGACAATGTTACAGGGTAAAAGACAAATAACCGGTGATTAGAGTCCCTGACATAGTCTCTTCTCATCGGTCATCTATATGTGTCACAGAACAAGAAAATTTTCAAAATACATGTATTTTCTCTGTTTTGAATATTTCAGCGATTTCCTGTGAAAAATATGAGGAACTCTTTTCTACTCCCTCTTTTGCTTAGTAACCTCTATCACTTGTTTAAATATTTGTATCTTTAAAAAAAAATCAATTGTAGAAAAGATTAGATAAGAGATTATCCTAATGAGAATCTTAGGATGGATTTTCTCTCAAAATTAACTAAGCTAAATCCTAAGTTTATAATTGAAATTGGTTTACTTTGAAACGCCATAATTTTCATGAGCATTAATTAGCTGATGGGTCTACTTTCAGCTGAAACGTGTAAGTTTGTTTATGCTCCCCTAAATTCATACACCATTTCACACTGAAGATGAATTTTTTGCTACCTTTTTCTCAGGTTAAGAGGAAATTTTTTCTGTATTGATGAATTAATATGAGCAGTTCAAAAATTATTTGAACTTGCTGAGTACAAGTTCTTATTTAGTGCTTACTTCTTTCTGGAAGAAAAGACCATGTGTATCCTTCTATTATCCCCACTTCTGTATCTGTATCAGACTATGCTTTACTTTTTACTTCACTGATAGTGAAACTCCAATATTGCTAGTGAAATCTTAGATAATAATGAAACGTTCCCTCAGGAGAAAGGCTAAAAATGCTAAATACAGGCTGATCATGTCTAGTAATGCAACGATTAAAGTTCAGTCAGTGAAAATGAGAGACCAGCCAGGAACAGAGATCACTCCCTCACACAGGGCCAAAATTTTGAAGAAATTACAAAGATAGCAGAAAACTAGAAACAACATGTATGTAGTTTTTTAGCAGTTTATTTTAGGGCAAGAGGGACAATTATATTATGATATCGCATTAACATTAGAAAAGTCATGCATAGAAGGGAAGAGTATCCACATGTGAATCATTGGTAAATATTTGGCAAATGGAAAAGATTGTATTTCTTCTGAGTGCTTGGCTTGCCTCTAATTAGTCACGTCTAGAAATAAGCTAAAACCTCGCACGTAACACATTTGTACTAAGTACTGTGATGGTATGATGAAGGCTGTGGCATGTGCTGTACTGCAACTTTCTGAAAGCCAGTAACTTTCAGCAGCATATTAGTCTCAGTTTTTGGCATAGATTAAACTACAGTGATTCAGTCTTAGTGGGCACCTGAGGACGCAGCATACCAGCCTTTCTCATCCTTTCCCGTTGCAATTTTGAGTCTTTACTCATTCCGGAAGTGAAAGTGTCACTGACCCTGGAATCTGAACAACTTTGAAGAACCTACCATAAATTGTACCTATTGGAACCAGTCTAGTTTCATAAGCAATGCTACCATTCTTGAGTGGCAGTAGTGTTTCGTGCTTTGTCCAAGCTGCTGCCATCTTACATTGGCTATTGGTGAAATATTTCCTCTCTGACAGACTAGAGTATTTGGGAAACAGGAGGAGTTCCTGACTTTTCCTCAAGACTTTCACAGTCAGCACAAGCTTGCAGCTCATCCATTTCTCAGAAGTCAAACACCGAACCTAGGTTTAGCCACTTATTAATATTTCCTACCCAGACAAAGCACTGAAGTGTGGAGGTATGCATCAAGAGCACTGCTGCATGAAGTTCTCCAGGGGGCCTATGCAGAGCCCACCATCCTTGATGGCTCTCTGGCCACAGCAGGAGCAGGGCCAGAGAACTGCTCATCACCACCGCATATGGAGACCCTAGCTTCTTTCCTATAGGAAGACAATATAATTTTCCTTACCCCCTCCCTTTTCCTTCTAGCCCCTCTCCCACTGACAGGGCACTATGCTTAGCTTGAGCACCTTCACAGAGTTCTCATCTTGTGCACTGCAGCCGTTTTACTTTTCTTCCACTCTCCCAAAGAACATGAGTGTTCCTGGCAACAGTTTAATGAGTGCCTAGTGCCCAAGAGGAATAAGCTCTACTAACTAAACATCTGTTGTAATATAGAAGTAGCTCAAATGATTCCCTGTGCTCCTTCACAAACGCTTAAGTGCTCTTTCTTCAGCAATGCCATTCACTCTTGCTCTGTGGGAAACTCAGTCACTCCCTTGAGTCTAATTACATCTTCTAATGGGCTCTTGAGTGTGACTTGATCAAAAGATCTCTTTAGAGGGGAAATACTTTTCTCTCTCCACTCCTTAGCTTATATTCTTATGTTTTTCTCATTAAAAGGGAATAAGAGATGTTCTGACTTGTTTCTAGCTTTAGCAGAACCTCTGCTAGTTGATAATGGGGGGTTCAATGGTCTCTGACCGTGCTAATATCCTCCCATTTCATAAATCCATCTTCCCATAGGTTCGCTCTTTATAAGTGTCAGTCAATGACAAGGAGTTCCACAGATGAGATGTAGATATGGTGCGAGAAGAATGATAGTTTATAATACTGTGCGACATAATATTCTGGTAGCTGGAATAGTAAATGTTAAATCAAAAAATGGATGCTTAATACTTAAGCTGAAGTCTAGGAAGTAGAAATCTCAGTACTAAGGTAAATGGCAAACTCTCCTCATTCAACAAATAAAGAAGTTTAGCTTTCAAAGTAAAGGACCTACACTATACAACACACTAAGGGAAGAAATGGCCATGCAAAGAAGGGAAGGAACTTCGCTCTGAAGTTCTCTCCTATGGGAAGGGAGTTTCCACCAGTCAGGAAAACTTTTTACCAGCCAGAAACATATTTCTGCTCCACACAGATCTGGACAACTTTCTCACTAATAAAAAAAGAAACCAAAACAACTGAAAGAAGCTTACCTCTCTCCCATTGCCTAAATATCAGGAGACTTAGCTTCAGCACCCATTTCAGCCTGAGGGAACTCAACCCTGCATATCCCACTTCCCAATGACACATTCAAAGTATAAATTAATGTGGGCAACGGGCACTCTACTCCTACCATTGAAGATGAGCCGCTGCGCAGCCCAGGACGCAAGGCTGGAAGGAGAGCAGGGTCAAATTGTCTCCTATGCTCTCCATTTCTGAACTCTTCCGGGCTTGAACCTTTCTTCGCTCTTGGTCTCACTCCAGTCCGCACTCAGCTTTCACTATTCAGAGGCGTCTCTCCTGCCTCCAGAGAGCAAGCCTCAGTGCTTTGCCAGCCTTTCTCCGGGAAGTCTGCACTACTGCTGAGCAGCATACAGCTAGTCTCTCTTGCTTCTTTTCCCTTTCACCTGCAGAAAGAGAGGTAGCCTTTCAGTGGAAACTACTGCTGACTTCACAGAGAGCTAGTCAGGTCCTCCCAGTGGCTGGTCACAGGGTTAATGCTCAAACTGCATCTCTTGACAAACTTAGAAGGTGCAAAAAAAAAAAAAAGCTACCACCCCCATACCATTTAACTTCCTTACCTAGGTGATGTGGAGTATCATACTAACATCCTTTATAATGCTTAGCAGTGTCAGGCTACCACCGTAGCAGAAGTGACATAGAAGACTATATAAATACTGGACTAATTCCAGGAAAAATGGGTGATTTTTTTTCCCCTTCTAGCTTAACCAGTGCCTGATAGGTAACTAAGCCTTAGTTTTTTAACAGTAAAATGGGGTATGAAATGCAAACCGCCTTTGTCGAGGTTTTCATATAAATTTATTTACGATTACTTTGAAGCCATATTTTCTGAGAATCGCTATCCTTGGTATTAGCAGTTTAAAGCATTTTAGACCTCCTGCTTTAAAGTATCAAAGGCTAAACAGTGTAAATTGTTTCCTCATCTGTTTGATCCAAACCTGAAAAAGCCTTAGTTGACTGATCACCATTTCTCAACACAAGGGAATATCGCTAGAAAACTGGAAATCAAATACTGCTAGCCCCATTCAATACCTCTGTAACAGGCTTGCAGGAGGCTAAGGAGACAATCTTCAGGCTCATGTCCTTAAGAGCAGGACTGAAGAGGGCCGGAAGGAAACAGCTTTTTCTGGGTATACACCAAGCACAGTTCAATCATCTCGGAGAATCTGGCAACACCTTAGTTTGTGTTGAGTTACATGAAAATAGGCTAAAGGGGTTTCAGTCACTATTTGGAAACTAAACGAACAACAGTACAACACAAACTGTATGAAGTATTCTCTTTGACAGAGCCAATTTCTGTACTTTGTAGTGAATTGTGCTACATGTTTCTGAAACAACCAATATCACCAACTCAGACTCTATTGACCCAAGAGTCTTTCTCAAAAGTCAGAGCTAGAATTTCTACCTTTCACATATTCCACTCTTGAT